AAAGCTGATCTAGTAGTTCTAGTCCAAACCTAAAAGCTAGAGAACAGGGGAGTCAATGATGTTAAGTCTCAATCTGAGACCAAATGCTCTAACCAGGAATGCTGATGTGTGAGGACAGGAGAGGATGAAGATCCCAGCTCAGAAAGCCAGCTCCCTTTGCCTTCCCCATTTACTTTTATTTAAGTCTTCAACAGATTAAATGATGCTTACATACATAGGTAAGAGTGATGTTTACTCAGTCTCCAGATTAAAATGTGAATCTCTTCTGGAAAAACTCTCACAGACCACCCAGAAATATTTTACCAACTATCCTAGCATCCCTTAACCCAGTCAAGCTGACACTTAAAATTGAGTATCACAACATTCATATCATTAAAACTGTAATTAAAACACATTTGCTTCTCACAAATCTTATAATCTATATCCCCAAAACTTAAAGAGAAGTAAACTCTCTTTTTCTATGAATCTTTGCATTATATGTAATCTTCCTTTATTCATAATTTTCTGCTTTCATCTAGTTTGTTATGCATGTAAAATAAGCCTGACCTAAAAGTCCTTGATAAACTGGATAATAAAATATGAATTGTAGTCATTCAACTCATTTCACTTGTCTTTTTATAGGAATATTGTGTTCTTTATTATCATCATTATTATACGGAAGGATTTGTAATGCAGTAGGGACTATAAACACACAGAAACATCATTATGAGGCAAAATATTGTGTAGTTTCAACTGACTAAAAGTGTCATTTAATATTTAAATATATAGAAGTGTATATTTATTATATATGGAAGTGTATATATATTTCAATATTAAGTAAATCAATATATTAAATATATAAATATATTTTATATTTCTGTGTTATTAATAAATACTATTTTATTTATATTTCAATACATTATTGATAATTTGATATTTATATTTATATTTATTAATATATAGAACTATATGTTTAAATATTAACGAAATATTCATTTATTTATTATATATTATATATAAAATATATAATACATACATATATAACGTATACATTTTGTATATAATGTGTATATTTTATATATCTTATATATTTCTATATGTCTTATATCAATATCATCATATATACATATATGTTTCTCTCTCTCTCTATATATATATATATATGAGAAAATAAATTTCAGTGAAACCTTATCCTTTCAAGAAATGGCCAAAACAATATTGTTTTTCTAAAATGGAATTTCAGGCAATAATATGTGCCTACAGATGTTTTGTATAAGCTCGCCAAATGTAATTAAATGAGGACAAAAATTAAATCACACAATTAAGGACCAGAAAGAGACATTAAAATTTTGCAATGCTGTATTCCAGCAGAATATGTCATTTTTCTTATAACTGGTGCCAAGACTAGGATCAGAATCATGCCATCCTGAGTCCCAGGTATTAGACGATACTGTGCAGACTCACTTTTTATGTATTTTCTTCTTGATTGTTGTCAGATAAACCATTATGAAAGTTCTGGTCATAGTTGTAAGAAGAGCTAAATTATCTCAACTGCTTTTATGAGGGTTAGTCCCTTTTCTTACATTAACATCGATGCTTCATTTTTATTGTTGTGATATAAAGAATTAAACCAATCAAATTTTAGTTTATCTGCTTCTGAATGTAACTAACCAATGAGCAACGTTAAAATTAGACTCTAAGTTAAAAACAAAACAAAGCGCCATGACCTCTTCTTTAAGTCAGTGCTCTCACGGCATTCTGTGTCCTACAACAGCAGGCTGAACAGGGGAAATACAGCTAAGTAACTCTATGGGAGGTCAGCTATATTGTCTGACCCAGTAGAACAGGATTTCACTAGAAGTATTTTCTTCTCATTTGGGTAATGTCTCAGGGATAGTTTCCATGTGGCTGAAAAGCAGTAATCGATATAATTATTACTGCCATTGTTATTAGTATAATCAATATTATTATAATTTCATGCTGTTTTAAGGTTGTATTGAATAATTTCTGAGATGATATAAAATTTCTAACAAAAATTTCCTTATTTCCAGGAAACATGTGAGAACACTTTTCACTCTTCCATCTATCAACATGAGTAGAAAATAGGGTCATGAGCTAACAATTCTTAAAAAACAATAATGATCCAAATCTACTTTTGATCCAACAAACGAATAGAAAAAGAATAACCCCTCAAAGGAAATTTCATTGAGACTTTTTTTACTTGCATATACAGAAAAGAAATCAGATTTTTTACATATTCTTCAAACTGTTTTTCTAGTTTACACAGCTAGTGGACAAAATAAGCTATGCATGTCATAGTCATATGTTTTATTCTTTGAAAATACATTTAGTGTTTATTGTACTATCGAAGTTTCGCATTTGTGTCTCATATTATTTCCATATAGAGACAGTTTTATATATCAAAAACATACAAAATAGCCTTTAATCATGGTCACATGCTCTGACAGAGCTACACAAGAAAATGTGAAATTCTTAATGCTATGTAATTTATTCATAATTCTAAATGGTTCATTAAAAATGAATATATGAATTTTATCACTTGACTGATTTTCTGAAGTGGAGAATAAAAATGGAATGAAATTGGGTTACAGTAACACAGATATCAAAGAATAAGGCTACTGTTGGGTTAAATGCTACTCTGACAGCAGGAATCTCATCGGAACTTGTGTTCAGCTTTACAACACCTCCAAGAATAGCCAGTAAGTTGCTCATGTTATGCTATTCATGACCCTTGCATTGATGTCAAAGTCATGTACTTTAATCAAATAATATTTTTGAATGCCAACTAAATATGAGATTTTGTTTTGACACTCAGCAGGTCAGAGAAACATCACATTATAAAAAGAAAGTGTCACTTGAACAGAAAGTCATTATGTTTAGTGAAATAAACAGGCACAGAAAGAGAGGTATCACATGTTCTCACTCATAAGTGGGAGATAAAAAAGTTAATCTTATGAATGTAGAGAACAGAGTGATAGATATCAGAGGCTGGGATGGGTGTGTGGGTGCAGGAGAGAGAAAAGTTGAATGAAAGGTGTAAGTTCTATTGTAGAGTGATTATAGTTAACAACAATATATTGTATATTTCAAAGTAGCTAGAAGAGAGAGCTTGATTTATTCCCAACATAAAGAGATGATAAATATTTAAAGTGGTGGATATTTCAAATACTCTACCTTGAACATTATACATTCTATGCATGCAATTAAATATCACATGTATCTCATAAGTATGTAAAATATGTATCAATAAAAAATTGAAATAAAATAAAAATTTTAAAATGTGTCATTCAGCTACTCGTAAATCTCAAAAAAAATCTTAGTAGTATGATTATAGTCATATAAAACTGATACCTTTCTGGAGTTCCAAGTTTCAAGACATAGGTACATCTGGATGAGGCTTAATCAGGTATGGGGTAAGCCTTGGGCATTTCTAACTCTATGGGCTCAGCTGAGGAACTCTCTGGCCAACTGTCCCTAAAGAGCTACTCCTTCTTTTCTATATTTTTCACAAGTGTGCCTTAAATTTAGAGAATTTCTTGTTATGCTAAGTTGCACAAATATTTTTTAAATTTCAGATACTTTGAAGAGTTGAAAAATGTTTTAAACAAGAAACACTATAATCAATATCTTAGAAAGATCTAGTTGATATCTTAGGAAAAGCTGACTAAAAAGCGCTTAAAAACAAAACACAACAAAAATCATGGGCATTAAATAGTCAAAGACAAGGGCAAATATTGACTATGGAGATCCAAATGGAAAGAATGCCGGGCGCGGTGGCTCAAGCCTGTAATCCCAGCGCTTTGGGAGGCCGAGACGGGCGGATCACGAGGTCACGAGATCGAGACCATCCTGGCTAACACTGTGAAACCCCGTCTCTACTAAAAAATACAAAAAACTAGCCGGGCGTGGTGGCGGGCGCCTGTAATCCCAGCTACTCCGGAGGCTGAGGCAGGAGAATGGCGTAAACCTGGGAGGCGGAGCTTGCAGTGAGCCGAGATCCGGCCACTGCACTCCAGCCTGGGCGACTGAGCAAGACTCCGTCTCAAAAAAAAAAAAAGAAAGAATGAATGTTGATTTGAGTAAATAGGTTGTAGCCAGAACATTTTACCTAATTCGAACTTTTACCTGGATATAGTAATAAATCGTGAAGGAAAGGAAGTTGGGTGAAGTTTGAAGTAAAATCGGCAAAAGATACAAGAGAGATGAATTAATGACAAAAGGTAGAGAAGGAGAAAAAATTCTGTGTGGAGGCAGATTACAATCTTCATTTTTTGGTAACAGTGAGGTTAGAACATATAATGGAAAAGGGACTTGGGATATAAATAGAAAACTCTGGAAAGACTTCACACGAGATGGGCTTTTGATCCCTGTAAGAGTCTCTCCACTTGGGACTACAATTGTGCTGTGTTCTTAAAACAAAACAAATATTTTGCATGTTGGCGTGCAAAGCCCAAAACAAATATAACAATTGTGCATGATCAAAGTTTTAAAAGTCTACAAATTAGGTGACATTTGTTTCTTTCAGGTACATACACAGGTGAATCAAATCTTTCCTGCTTCTGATGCTACAAAATATGTGTGCTTTATGAAGAAACTGATGAATTTAAGAGTCTTGACCTTGGCTATTTCTTGAAATTTTGTAGAATCAATTATAACAACGTCCAAAAATGCTTGTGATGAGAATATATTTAAATAGAAATCAAGAATTTTTAATGTGACTGATGTTAAGTGACTGGTAATAAATAATTCTATTTGGGTTTGGTATGTCTTAGACTTTGAAGCAGCAGCAATCCCTTCTAATAAAATTAAAGCAACAAGCTCAGGGACAAGCTAACTAGGTAGCCAAAAAAGCTCAGGCATTCTTACTGAGTGTTGTCAGAGGACAATAGATTAACAAGCTGCCTCAGCCAAGTAGAATTCATGGAATGACACAAAAAGAGGGGCACATGTTTATTACATGCTCTGACCAGGGTATATAAGTCTCCTTCTACACATGCTGGCATTCACACTCAGGATCTTGCCTGAATAGCAAACCAACTCACCACTCCTGACACCATGAGTTACTACGGCAGCTACTACGGAGGCCTGGGCTATGGCTGTGGAGGCTTCGGTGGCCTGGGCTATGGCTATGGCTGTGGATGTGGCAGCTTCCGCAAACGGGGTTATGGCTGTAGCTATGGAGGCTATGGATATGGCTCTGGCTTTGGAGGTTACGGATATGGCTCTGGCTTTGGAGGCTACGGATATGGCTCTGGCTTTGGAGGTTACGGATATGGCTGCTGCCGCCCATCATACTATGGAGGATACGGATTCTCTGGCTCTTATTAAATGAATTGTTGAAATTGGAAGCAGAGGAGAAACCTCCAAATGTGTTTGGTCCTGTCCTGTGCTTTCATTCCAGAAAATCCATTCTATTGTCTTCACCATCAATGGACAGATATTTATCAATGGTTAAGCTGCTTCTATGAATACTAGTTGTTTTTTTACTTTCGGAATCTGTCACCTGAAATCCTATTCATGTATAGCCACTCTAGTTTGTTCTCCTAAATTTGCTTTGTTTTTCTTACTACCATTACCATCATATTATCTATCACGATCCTAGCAAAAACTTGTATTTTGCTTTTATCTAATACATGAATTAAAGTATAAATATTTTGGTTCTTTTCAATGTTTTCATTGTTATTATTTAACATTTTATTTTGCAACTACTATAAAAAGTTTACTTATGAGGCAGTGAGATCTGTGACTCCATAGTGGAATGTGATGAAAATCTTCCTAGTTCACCATGTTATGGAAGCTTGAGAACAAATAAGAGATCATATTAACAAGAGATACAAATAACTTGCCCCTGTCTATTTACTTAGGATGTCAACCCCTCTCAAGTGTCCCTCAAGTGTTCCTGGAGTCACTAAGGACAGTGTCATTCTCATATTCTGCTGTGTAACATTGTTGTTAGCTGAATGTCTTCTTGGTACCACTGTTCTGGCCAGGCATGTCTTTGCTTTTTTTCCACCTTCAGTTGAGGTTGTGGAAAGGAGATTGGGAAGTTTCACTCATTTCCTAGTCAGAACTACATTTTGTATTTAGCATCTCCCTGAAGGCCATTGTCCCATATTTGACTGATGCAACTCCCACCGGAATGTGGCACTGAAACCCAGTGGTACAATGCCGCACAAAAAATTGGAGGTAGTTTGCAAATGTGTTCTCCAATTCTGTGGGTTGTCTCTTCACTTTGTTGATTGTTTCATTTGCTGTGCAGAAGCTTTTTAACTTTATGTGATCCCATTTGTCCAGTTTTGCCTTGATTGCCTGTGCTTACTGGGTATTACTCAGGAAATGTTTGCCCAGACCAACATCCTGGGAGTTTCTTGTGTTAAGTGAAATAAACCAGGCACAGAAAGACAAATGTCACATGTTCTCACTTATTTGTGGGATCTAAAAATCAATGCAATAGAACTCATGGAAGTAGAGAATAGAAGGACAGTTACTAAGGTCTGGGAAGGGTATTTGGGGTAGGAAGTGGGGCTGGTCAATAGGTGCAAAAAAAAAAAAATAGAAAGAATAAATAATGACAGTACTTGATAGCACAACTAGGGGACTATAGTCAATAATAATTCAATTGTACATTTTAAAATAACTTGTAGAATTGGATTGTTTGTAACATAAAGGATAAATGCTTGGGGACAGGGCTACCCCATTTTCCATGACGTGATTATTACACTTGGAAAGCCTCTATCAAAATATCTCATGTACCTCATAAATATATGTACCTACTATGTCCCCACAAAAGTCAAAAATTAAAAAAAATAAAATAAAAGAAAGAAAACTGGGGTAAGCCAGAGGGGTGCTTTCTGACTTTTTTTTGTTGCACCCTATTAGAGGCTCTTAATAGTCTATATAGCTTGTTGTGAATAGGTGATAACACAAAGTCACATGAGAATAATACGCAGGAGGCTTTACTGATAAGAGCCCTTCTTGGCTCTCAACTCTGGCTTCACTTCTCAGTCAAGTTCAAGTAGCCCGGCTCGTTTTTCTCTAGGAATTTATTCTCATCCAAAAAAATTCTTCTGTTCCTTTCAGCCTTGTTTTACAAGTTCACCACCCTTAGCCAGGCATCTTGGAACACCAACAATAAACACAGAACCCTCCTCTGCTATGTTTCTCAGTCAACTTTCAAAGTAGTGAAAGAAGCCTGTTTCACCAGTTTGTCTGACATGACGAGGCATGTCTGAATCCGCTTATATTCAAATTTGGACCCCTACTATTTATCCTAGAAAATCTTTTTATCCTCTTGTAAATCTAGAAGAGGAACACTATTTTATAAACGATTTCTCATAGAAAAAGTGTTGCCTTTTTGTCTACACTATAGTTTCGATTTCGAATTTAGAAACTAAACAATGGATGCAAAAAAATGGAGAGAAGAAAAGAAAGAAGAAAGAAATCCAAAAACAAAGAAAAATTCATAGTTTAAAGGCCCAATCACATTTAGAACACATTCCATGTTTTATGTTATTTTTTAATTGACTCAATAATGGTATGTATTTATGGGGCACAGAGTGAAGCTTTGATATATATTATGTATAATAATCAGATCAGGATAATGAGCATGGATAACTGATCTTTTATGAAGTTGAAATGAGAACCAGATATAATACCTGTCCAAGTGCTGTTAAACTGAAAGACAGTGATTCAAAGACCCTCCTGCAGATACCCTTTGCAAATACTTAATTTTGCTAGTGAGGTTTTGCAATCTAAGGTTTAGTATGTTCTAAATTCCTTGGACAAAATAGAAGAGTTAATTAATTATTAATTAAGCTGATTTTTAGCTTTAGCTAATTATTTTATGTTCTAACCAAAAAGAGCAGGAGAATAGCCTCTGTAGATTACAGGAACTATAGTTACTATTCTGTATGATTTCTGTCTTTGATTTTTTTATTGTCCTTTGTCAACTCTAAAACTTAACAATGTGTGAATTAGTCTGCATATTTATATCTTCTCTATAAGGGTTGTAAGTATATATAAAGCTTCCCTTTATAAACATATAAAAAATGGTGGCTGCTTTTAGAGAACAATTATTTAGAATGTACAATATGTGACTAGTCAACCTAATTTTCTCCAGACAGACATTATATATCCTACTAGAGATGACCTTGTAGACAGAAAATCTGTTACCTTTTTACTACAGCACAGTTTCTATTTCAAATTTGAAAACTAAACAAGGGAAGCAAAAACAGCAACAAAAATCATCCTCATTAGGTTTAAGTGCTGGCCTGACTTGAAGGTCTTTTTGATTTCCGATCTGAACAGTCCAGGTGCTGTTAAATTTGATTTGTACCCAGATATAATTTGTGATGCTCCTGAATGTCATGGCTTTTAAAAGTATATTGCAAAAGATGTTTTTATTCTTCGTTAGATTGTTAAAGAATTGGAAGCTGGGAACGTGAAAGATATTTCTAAATTGCAGTCACTAAATAGTTCTGCTGGGAGAACTGAAATTTTGTAGATGTTTATTACAGTATATCAGTAAGACAATAGAACATGCAATTCTTCTGAATGCAAGTAGAGGGGGAATTTCCTGATGAAAACTATAGACTCTAATTTTGAGGAAGGTATAATAGTGTCATGTGTACCTAGACATGCTTGTGAATAGTGATTGCATAATTTAGGATCCAAGATTAATGTTGAAGGATAGAATTGGAGAATGAATAATTTCTTGAAACATGGATACAAAAAGTAAAATTTCTTCCCTCTACCAAAAAAAGGTTTTTCAGACATAATAATCATGGTCACATCTTATTACTGCACTCAGATTGGTCACAGAAAACTCTAATAAAGCAAATCAATATAAAAACTCTTTAATCAATGAAAAATGCTCTATCAATATGAAAGATCAATTGAATCAATATTGTATTGGATATGTGTATAGAATAAAAATTCAGGATACCTGAGCAATTTGGTAATCTGAATAAAAGTATTTCCTTTCATTGGAAATATGTTTGACAAACATCACTGCTGACCTCTGAAATTTAGAGCACTAGGTTGCAGCTATGAATCCATCTATGGTTTGAGCTACGAACTTGGAGATTCTGAGGCTTAATATTGTTATATATTTAGTTATGTTTCTGCCAAGCACCTTATGATGGGTTGTAGAGACAATGTGGATTCTATTGTTTAATGGGTTGACAAGGACACTGTGATCGCTTCAGCCACTCAAGTCAGAATATGGAGAGGCTTTGCATGTCTCTTCTGTCATCTCCATAGCCAATTGGTAGCTATTTTGTGCTATCTTCTTAATAGACACATAAAACTTATAATTCTTTATAAATATATTCAATTTCATTTTACCTTTTATCCAATGCTCGTGGTCACAATTTGCCACTTGGATTATGGCTGCACCTTCTCATCTCATCTATTCCTATCTGATCTCTGAAACTCAAAACCTGCTACCTTTCTTTAGTCTCTTTGTTTAAAGTTATTTGTTTAAAATGGCTCCTAATAGCTCTCTCTGGGATGACACATAATGCTGCTATTATGATGAAAACAATGAAGTGCTCAATATGCTGATATGGAAGGAAATTTCATTAAAAGGCATGACACACAAGAGCCTGGACCATGCAGTTGGCTCATCAGCTATGATATGATACTTAGCAAACACCGACTGAATTAAAATGTGTATTTACCTAAATGATCCATAATCTTGTTAAATATTTGCCTTTATAGTAGCTCCTCCCTTACCTTGCTCTTCATTTCTCATAAAGAGTTCCTACTCACTTTCAAAATTTAACTTAAGGGATTGCTGGGTCAAATGGTATTACTGGTTCTAGATCCTTGAGGAATTGCCACACTGTCTTCCACAATGGTTGAACTAATTTACACTCCTACCAACAGTGTAAAAGCGTTCCTATTTTTCCACACCCTCGCCAGAATCTGTTGTTTCCTGACTTTTTAATAATTGCCCTTCTAACTGGCGGAAGATGGTATCTCATTGTGGTTTTGATTTGCATTTCTCTGATGACCAGTGATGATGAGCTTTTTTTCATGTTTGTTAGCTGCATAAATGTCTTCTTTTGAGAAGTGTCTGTTTATATAATTTGCACGCTTTTTGATGTTTTTTTTTTTCTTGTAAATTTGTTTAAGTTCCTTGTAGATTCTTGATACTAAACCTTTGTCAGATGGGTAGATTGCAAAAATTTTCTCCCATATACCCAGAGGATTATAAATCATTCTACTATAAAGACACATAATCACGTATGTTTATTCCAGCACTATTTACAATAGCAAAGACTTGGAACTAACACAAATGCCCTTCAATGATTGACTGGATAAAGAAAATGTGGCATATATATGCCATGGAATACTACGCAGCTAAAAAAAAGAATGAGATATGTCTTTTTAAGGGACATGAATGAAGCAGGAAGCCATCATTCTCAGCAAACTAACACGGAAACAGAAAACCAAACACAGCATGTTCTCACTCATAAGTGGGAGCTGAACGATGAGAATACATGGACACAGGGAGGGGGACATCACACACAGGGGCCTGTCAGGGGGTGGGGAGCAAGGGGAGGGAGAGCACTAGGACAAATATCTAATACATGCAGGGCTTGAAACTGAGATGTTGGGTTGATAGGTGCAGCAAACCACCATGGCACATGT